GTGTCAGATTTCACAGAAAGGCGAGACAATGGAAAATAAAGTTTGAAGCTTTTTCTTCAAAATTAACGCATTTCTTTCGTTTTTTTCCCAGTTTTAAATATTTTTTATGTTTAATTACATTAATATTAAAAATTAGTGGGTAGCAAGGGAGTTAATTAATAACAGGATAAACTACTTTTATGTAATAGTGTTTAATTTTTAATTTTAGTAATTCAGCGATTATAAAAAAATGAAATTGTTTATTAGAATAAAAAATAACTAATTAAAAATTTGTTTGCAAACTTTTAAAAGTTGAAATCGTAATTTATTAGAATGTTCACTTCAAAATAGCTAAACAGATCAGTAAAAATCTGTAATTTAATCGTTTTTCAGTTTAAAACATAAAAAATTATAAATAGTTACCCGACGTTTACAGTAAAATACTGGCGCTGACTTGTTGTTGGCACAAGCTTTTTATATTTGTTGTTACGATTTTCCTTGAATGTACTGTACTGCAAGCATATTTTCCCTCTCTCTTCCGTTTTTTTCCGCAACTTCGATACATAGTTTAATAATTAGTTAACTGAAATGACATTGGGTAACAAATATCACTGATTTTGGCAAATTTAGGGCTTAAAAACTGGCAAGATTGATCATGCTTGTAATAAATATTCTGTAGTTATATTTTCGAAAATCAACAGGTAATCCGATAGTTTAACCAATGTTAACTTGCTTATAATTAAAATTTAAAAATTAAAAAGCTGTAAATTTAAAAAAAAATAATTACATTACTAAAAAATTAAAATAAATTTGATTATTTTTTGTGCGAAACAACACCAAAACAATTTTTATAGTTATGTTGCAAAAGAAAGAGATTTGTAGTTACGATTCTCTGCGCTGAACTTCTATATTTTAATAACGTATAATTGTAATTTCGTTTGTTGTTTATTTCTGTATTTATTTTATTTTATAAGTTTTAAGAATCCCAATTTTCGTAATACTATGACTTCATAGGAATACAAGTGTGAGGTTCCGGAATTGTCCGGAACTAAAATAGAAAAACGTAAAATAATTTAATTATTAGAGAAAAAAAGGAATGAACAGAAATTTTTTATAGAAACTTGAGAAATAGTCTAGACCCGTGTTTCTCAACCGCCGGTCCGCAACTCTAATCTGACCAGTCCGCGAAAACTTTAAAAATATATACTTAACCTTCCATGCGTTGTTCTCAAATAGGAAATATGTGGATTATTAATCCGTTTATTGATAGCAAACTAATAGATTGAACGACTTTGAATACGAAAAACTAATCAAATTAAGTTCAGACTTGGGATTTAAAACATTGTTTGAATCAATGCCCATAACACAGTTTTGGATTAAAGTTAAATCTGAATATCCAGTTTTACATAAAAAGGCAGTTAGGATGTTACTACCTTTTTCAACAACGTACTTATGTGAATCAATGTTTTCAGCAATGGTAATGATAAAATTGAAACAACAAAATCATTATAGTATTAGTTCTGCATCACGCCTTGCAGTTACCGCCTTAACTCCAAGAATTGATGATCTTACTAGCAAAAAAGAAAAGCAGCGATCACATTGATTTGTATACTAATGTACTGGTAAATAAAATAACATATATTTATTGCTCAATGTAGTTTGCAGTTCTTTTTTACAACAGAGAATTTTTTTCAATTAAAAATAATATTGTCACCGGTCCACTTAAAAAAAGCAGATATTTTCCAGTCTGCGATGAGTTTTGGGTTGAGAAGTGGTCTAGATCATCCTTTCTCAAAGTGGGTGATAACGCCCCTTTGCGAGCACTGGAGGCTTTCATGGGGTTAGTAGAAGGCTCAGTGATTAAATATGAGTTTTATTTCTTCTCATCAAAACATTCTTTGATCTCAGAAATAGGATATGGGTCACACCCTATCTATCCTATCCATATAATAATGCATGTTTAAACATTATATTTGCAATAACTGTTTTTAAGATATGCAACAGATGGTAATGTAAAAAGGTTAAAAAAAAGTTACTCTTTTTGTTGAAAGATTGATTTTAAAATTATGTGTTTCTAAGTCAAGAGTTCATTTTAAGCACAGTACAGTACTATTTGTTTATCAAAGAATAATTTTTGTTGATTTTATGTTACCTTGTATTTACTAGATTTACATACAAATAATAATGATAAATGATGATAAAATAAAAAGCTTGTGTTTTGTTTGTAAATTGCTTATTTTTTCATTACATTGAAGTTGTGGATTCTATCAAACATTTTTCTACAGGATGTATGTACTGTATTTTTTTAATGTGGCAGTCTTTGAAGCATATCAACTGTGCAAAAAGAGGGCTAAATGTACTCAATGTTAACAGTAAATGCTGTTTTATTATGTCAATATTCCACACTAAAAAATGTGAGGGTCAGGGAATTTGGACAAAGTTGGTCAGGGAAAGTCAGGGAATTCAAAACAAAAATTTGAGTAGGAACCCTGTGTATACAATCATAATATTGCTAGTGGAGTCTGACCTGCAAACGCAAATAGGCCACATGATTAAAACTATTTATGGCAAAGATTTTTGCACTCATCTTTATGCTAGTGGAGTCTCAGCCTTAGTCTTTACATTATAAATTTTTATATCAGTACTGTTAATATGTTTTTAGGTTAGCAATTAATATCAACAAATATTTTTGGCATGTGTGCAGTTCAGGAGGATTCATCTCAAATATATTTTGTTTTTCATTTATTTTATTTTAATCTTAGTTATTTTATAATTGTATCTGTAATGAATTGCTAATGGAAGTAATTCTTTAAACTTCCAGATTATTATGAAAATATGATATGTTATATGAGAATATTCAATAAATAATGCTTCTGTATTTATATATAAGCTCAGTGGTAAGATATCAAAGGGTGCATTCTTTTATTCCTCTGCATACACTCCACACATGTGGCATCCATTTAAAAATTCCTGCTGAATATGTTCCTATATTCTGATTGGAATGCATGCCATCAAATGGTAAAAATGGCTGCTTGCAGTAGTATTTTACAGTGGAAAGCAACATGGTATCCTTCATTGCTCAGATAGTTTTGTTTCAGTTATGTCCATTATGTAGTTTTATGAATGAAAATTAAATGTTGTGAAAGTGTGTGTTAACACACACAATGATGTAAGTGTCATCTTGAATTTTTTTTAAATTGTGGCCCACATTTTAATTTTGTGATTTCTTTGAATGCTCTGTTTTCAAGATAATCCATTTTATGGTTAAATGTTACAATTGGGATTCTTCTTTTACTTTTGTCTTCAAAAACTCATTTTTAAAATCATAGATTCTATGGGCACTGTCATCTTTTTCTTTCTTTCACCATTGTTGCTAAATATCTACAAATGGCAGAGTATACCTGTGATGGCAGATATGCAGAGTGACTGCTAGTAACGAATACACTTAAACTGAAACAAGAACAAAGTTCAGTATTTCTAATTTAATTAACATACTTCATTTTTCTATTTGTCCTTTCATTTTTGTTACAGATACACCAATGTTTAATAAGTTTTTCAAAGCCATTTCTGTAGAAATCCTCAGGTTGTTCTCAGAATCATTTCCTTATGGTGGCTTGAACATTTTTGTCACAGATGAAATGAATTCCTTTGAGGAGTAGGAAATAACCAAAAGTTTGAAGGCACAAATCTGGGTTGTAATGTGTGTGATCAAGAACTTCAAACCCACATTTCTGCATGGCTTCTGATATGAAATCATTGGTGTGATGTCTAACTTTGTCATGTTGCAGAATCATTAGCTTTGTCTACAATTTCAGAAACATAAACTGCCACTAATCTTTCATGAATTTTTTGGGAGACACCTTTTTAAGCATAAAACATTCTTTAACTGATTATTGTTTGATATACATTAAGGCAGAGACTCTACTAGCATAAAAACGGGCGTAAAACCCCTTGCCATAAAAGCTTTTAATCACATGACCATGATATTTTATGCCTGAGAAGGTCGTAAAACCAGCATAAAAGCGAGTTGAGCAATGTTCAACTTTTGATGCGAATACAGCCGTAAAACGGTACCATCCACCAATCAGAAGTCAGTGAAATCTAGGTAATTGTGACATGGTGCGAAAATGGCGGAAAATGAGCTTTTGTGTATTTTCTCTCATGGCTACTCTAGAATAGATCTGGAAAGATTTATCGAAAACATCTGAAAGTATTCATGTATCTATGACAAGAGGTATCCCAATTATAATGATGGATGTTTAAAACACGTGATATGGACAGCCAAAGGAAAATCCTTCAATTTAGAGGAGTATATAATAAAAAAGCTAAGCTTATATTATCTTAATAATACGATAATAAAAGTTAATATATGAAAGTAAAGATATTATTTTTACTACATTTGTAATTATAGTACAGAAAAACTCATAGAATATAATTATTGTCTTTATATCGATATATCATGTATACAACAGTAACTTCGCTAGCTGGATCTCCACCGCAATCCAGATGCAAACGCAAATAGGTCACATGATTAAAAGTTTTTGCGGCGAGGAGTTTTATGCCCATTTTTACACGAGTGGAGTCTCGGCCTAACACGGTTAGAAAAGTATCATCAATTTTTAAACACAATTAAATTTGAACTGTAACATGTTTGATGATGTACTATCATTAAAATGTAGCTAATGAAACAGAATCATTTGATTAAAGTTGGCCAATTGTATTTTCATTTTGGAAAATATAAAATATCTGTGGATGAGAATTGTATGTCACTGGTGATTGTTAACAATGCATTTGTGAAGACATTCTGTATTTTATATTTTCTAAAAATAATCATTTGTTGTCTAACTGCTTACTTAATAACAACTTCTGGATGAAACAGTTGCATAGAGGCATTATTGAGTGGCCTACATATATTTTCAGTCATAAATTTATTTCCACTTATGTAACTCTAGCTACATAATACTTTTTAAGAAATAATAAATTGTTTTCATTATTTTTTTCTTATTGAAATTTTTCTGCAGGGGTTGATGTTAGTAAAAAAATCTTCTACAATTTGAATGAAATTCAACGTGACCAAAGAAAACAAGAAATAAATTGTATGTGTTGGAGAAATGAAGAAGAATCAGAGGTAAATTCTATTCTTGTAATTTTAACTATTATTGTTAAAATTTTAAAAATTATTTTAGTAGAAGTTCATTAATCTGATACCTACAGGACTAGAATGATAATGCTGGATTACCAAGTGTGTTTTATTGTTGCAAACTTTGATAAGTTATGTATGATATGAATATTGCAGACATTGCTGTACAATTTGTACTGGTGCACACTGCTTTTTGCTTTTAATTTTTAACATATACTCTATAATCAGTGTAAAGATGATAAGGTGTATGACTAGGCACCATATCATTTTTGCACTGATGCTGTGATCGATTGAAAAACTTGCAAAAACATTGATGAAACATTAACTTTTGTAAAAAGACACTAATTTTATCAAATGACAAAACAAAAAGTGGAACCAATTAATCAATTTTCACAAGTTGAAAGAATATAAATCTATTATTTCTAAGACTTCCAATGATGTAAATCTTATTCTACTCTAGTTAAATTTTATTTGACACTTTCATTGGTACTGTGTTAAATAAAAAAATAAAGATTACAATAAAGAAATAAGGACAAATTTTTAACTTATTTTTGCCAAACATACAAGAATTGATGGTAATCATATTCATTGTAAAGTTTAATAACATACAATTTATTGTCATTTGTTAAGGTTAATTAATTAATGTTAAATTAAATATGATTTTTATTATAATAAAAAATCTAAAATAATGAAATAAAATAATATATCAGTTTATTTTAGATACTTCTACATAAAGATTATTGAGAAGGAAAATTGTTATTCAAGTAAAATGACTATTAAGTGAAATTAACTTGAAATTTGACCAATTATTTCTATTGAAAAATTAATTTACATAAATTAAAGATGGTGATGCTTTTGCCTAGAAATTAACAATAAAAATAATAATACAATTCCTGATATATTTATTATTGATTTGTAACATTTGTCTCTGGAAAAATTATTTTACATATTTTTAATATTATGAATCATACAAACTATTGTCACCCACAGGAAGTACTAACACTGCCTAATGAGTAAAATAAGAACATTGAAAAGAGGGATTGTTACACTGTTGATGTTATTCAAATAAGTTAACCATGTTTTGTCAAAGTTAAAATTTGCTTGTTTATGAAATTATCAATAATACTTTTGAAGACTGTACTAAAGATAAGAATAAATATTATAATGTGTAAGGTGTTTTTGCAGTTACTATATCATATAAAGCCTTGAAAATTATGATATTCACTTAGGCAAGCGTGTGGAGCACATCATAATTCTCTACAAAGTAAAGCCATGTGTTGTCTATGGTGCTCCTTGTTTGACCATATTTTTTTATTTAATTATTTTAAGCTTTTCGCCATGGATTTTGCATATTGCTGTTTGATAAATGACATTCATAATAATTTATACTTAATGAGTTATCAATGGCTTCGTATTACAAGTGAATCTTGTCAGACAGCTAATGTAGTAATCTAAGTTTGTTAGTCTTTCATTTACTAAAACTACAATAAAAAATTGAATCACACATTTATTCCCTAAATAATCTACATTTGAATGCTTAGATAATTGATCACAAATGGATATAACAATTTTTACTTTTTACCTGTTCTGGCAATGAAAACTGTTTTAAATGGTTTATCAGTTTTCATTTGTGGTCTCTTATTAATCTAAAGGCTTGGTTTGTTATTTAGGTACAGTACCTACCTACTTGCCTGATTTAGTAAAGATTAAGTATTTACTGAATCTTAACTAAACCAGTTCCTCAAATCTCCAAAAATAAAAAGTATCTATTTAACTGTTAAATAACTTTACTAAATATACAGTGGTGCATCATATAACATACGCCTCGAATAACGGACTTTCTGTTTGACTGTTACGTGACTCGAGCAACAGACTGGCTGCGGACAACGGACTTTCCGTTCGGCAGTTACGTGACGCGACCAATGGACTTTCTACGAACAAGTGCGAATGATGTTTCCACTCTTTTGCCGTTGCCAATGACAATCTGCTATTTTTATAATATATTAGTATTATTAGAATATATTATCAGTACATCTGAAGTACTTAGTGTTGGGATTAGGCTTGTTTATTAGGTACATCAACACAGTGCAGGATATTTACATTTATTCAAGTGTTGTGCAAATCATGGCTTCTAAAAACAGAAAGGTGATTTCAATTGAAACAAAGCAAAAAATGATCAGAAGGAGTGAAAGTTGACAAAAACTTTCTTGTAGAATGGGGAGAGGTTCAGGAGTTTACAACACTTATTATCCAGAGCTGAGGCCAACAGGATCAATGATCTCTACAATGACACCCTTGCCCGTCATTTCCGACAGGTGTTAAAGAAGAAAGAGAAACAGATCACCTTGGTCATGTTTTTCAAGAAGCCAGCAAGCAAAAAACAAAGGGTGGAACAAGAGGAGTTGACCCTGCAAGTGCCAGTAGCCTCTCCTGAATCTCACTCTGATTAAAAAACAATAAAAAAAGACCTGCTGCAATGTGTAAAAAGTTTGTATCTGTATGAATGTGTAAAGAAAGTGTTCTTCCACCTCTTCCTCACAACATCTGACTACCCGGCATAATTGGCGTGTGCTCCATTTTCATTTTTTATGGCACATTATGGTTATTTTATGCTGCAGAATGAATTATATGTTTTAAATTAACATGTATTTCTATGGGAAAATGCGTTTCGTATAACGGACTTTTCACTTAACGGACGTACACCTGGAACGGATTAAGTACATTATACGAGGCACCACTGTGTTCAGTATAAGTTATATAAAAGTATATATAATTTTTATGATGAATTATAAAGAATTCATATAAAACTGATTTTATGTAATAAACTATGTGAATTACTGTTAATTAGATATGAGACATACTGTCTTACAAAGAAACACAAATATTAGACTTAAATTCAAATGTCATTTTAGGTATGTAGGAATGTCACCTTTGTTTTTTCAAGTTTTGTAAAGAAATTGCTGTCATTAAAGTTAAACCTGCTTAACATGTTTTGCTTTCAATATTATTTAGAGCAGGGGTGGCAAACAAGTCGATGACAAAACCAATTTTGGTCGATCAGTTGCGATGCACTGACTTAATGTGTTACACTTGTAAGTTGTAACCGAACACAACGTGCAAACGCAACTGTGGTGATGTCAGACCTCCTCATTCTCCCTTAGATGCGGTTTTGTTGGTCCATGTGCAATCCATTTGCATACAGTTGTAAAAGGGGAATAAGAAATGTAGACAAAGGGTCGTAAAACCGAAAAAAAGAAGGGACAGAGAGAGTAGGTTGGGACACAGTAGAGAGAGGAAGGGTGAAGTGATGGTTCCCGAAAGTGACAACGTTAAGTTTCAATTTTTCTTTTGTTTAAAATGTAAGTACTTTTTCTTTGTGTTTTAAATTAAATTTTGGCTTTTCTTATCTATCTAAACATAGTATGTATTTCACACCTCCCTCCCCCTCGCCACTTAGACCAGGAATGGGCAACCTTTTTCTGTGTAAAGGCCACATTTCAAAACTTTTGAACTGACACAGGCCGCATACAAGATAAAAGAGGGGGAAAATGCCAGTAAATCACAATTATTTATTCATATATAATTATAAATTAGAATAGGTATACTTAATTTAGCTCCTAGAACTAATGTAAATGTAATGTATCGAAAATACAGTGGTACCTCGGTATACGTCTGCTTTAGAATACGTCCAATTCGGAATATGTCCTGTTTGGACGAAACAAATTTTGCTCGGTATACGACTTTTGTTCGGTATACGACATAATTCAATTATACGTGCCATCAATGAACAAGTAGCACTATCGGTGTACTAGACCAGACAAGACGTTCGCGGGGCAACGGTTTATAACTTTGTTAAATTTCTTCTGATTTTAATTCGTAAGTAAAATTTTATTATTTTTATTAATCACGAATCGTAAAAAGGCAAATGAAAAGCGACAGAAAACTAAAAAAAATGACTAGAATTACAATGGAACTGATGAAAGAGATTGTTGAAAAATACAAAGGTGGCACGCGTGTTCGAGATTTTAGAGAGGTTGCGGCCGACGTTTTCAATGCAAAAACATGTACGTCGGATGTTCAGCGCCGCTTTCCTAAAGGCCTAGCAGTTTGGCAATGGTGTTTGGGACGTCGAGCATGATTCCGCTGACTATCCAAACGCCATTGTCAAACTTTTAGGCTTATAGGAAAGTGGCGCTGAACGTCTGACATACACATTTTCACGATGATAACGTCAGCTGCAACCTCTCTTTTAATTGTTGCCTACCGTATTCCGAGAACAACGATATGGACAATCGCGAAAAATAAAGACATTATTAAATCTGCTAACATATTAAATGCAACAAAAGGGGTTAAATCAATTTCTAAACAGAGATCGAAGACATTAGATCATGTCGAGAAAATGCTTTTGCTTTGGATAACTGAAAAACAGTGCTGGAGACAGCGTATCGAAAGCAATTATTTGCGAGAAAGCTAAAAAGATACACGCTGATCTCACGAATAATCAAGCAGGAACTAGCCAGGAAAGCGAGGTGTTTAAAGCCAGCCATTTTTTTTTTACACGAGAATGGATTAATCATTTTTACATTACTTCTTATGGGAAATGTTGGTTTCGTATACGTCCAATTCGGTATAAGTCCAAACATCGGGAACGAATTAAGGTCGTATACCGAGGTTCCACTGTATTTGATTAAATATTAGTCACTGCTAGTTTTAAATTAGTTTTGAGGTGAGTCTATTAGCTGGTTTCTCGTTTTAATTTTTACTAAATTCATTGTAGGAAAAACTATTTACATACATAAGCTGTAGAAAATAACGTTTGAATTTTTGCTGCATACTTCTTAAGCTAGGAAATTGATATATTTATACACATTTTATGCAACTCAGGCCGCGGGATGCCCATTCCTGACTTAGACTATGCCTATGACAACGAGTCGATCGTGACATATTTTTAAGATAAAAAGTAGATCTTATGTACACAAAAGTTGGCCACCCCTGATTTAGAGATTGTAAAAAAATGTAAAAAACCTGCTTGAATAAAAGTAACATTCCTACTCACCAAATAAACCTTATCCAGTTCATAATCCAGCAGAAAAATTCTTTCTACGAACGTTTTCGTCTATATTTAATAGACATCCTCAGGTATTAAGGAGATCGAACTAACGGCTAGTAGAATAGAACGTCTTTGAAAGTTCCGTTTAACGACGGAATTGGTGAGTCGGATATAATTAAATTAAATAACCAGTTTTTTGAAATACGGTATAAAGTAACATTCCTTTTGTAAAAAGCTGAAAGTAGGTTTGTGAAATACTAAAATTAAAAAAATAATAATAATAAAAATAGAAATAAAACTAAAGCACTGTAATATCTTTTTCAACATGTCTTTTTATATATAGTAGGACAGATAAGTCATAGCTTAAACTGAGAAACTTTATTCAACTGCTGAGAAATCATTGACTTGTTATACCTTCTTTTCAATCTTTAACTTCAAAATCTACATTTTTTAATTTGCTTTCTCCTGGAAACTTGTAAAAGAGAATTTTATGTTCTTTATAATAATCTACCTGTTTACATTTGCACTGGGACACTGAACAATATCAAATCATTGTTTAATATAAAGTTTAAAAGATATTCACATGCATTATCCTTGACTTGTAGCCATATTGTTTACATTTCACTAGCACCACTACAAAATGCGATGGCAGCTGTTGGTGAGGATAGCCCCAAGAGATGCACCAGATGGGCAGGGTGTAGCCCGCACTGACACAAATCGACATGTACACAAAGTGCTGACTGAGGGAGTCTCAGGGTAAATGACCTATTGGACACCCTTCAGTGCAATGGAAAGATGGACTGGAGAGGGATCTACAAAGAGTGGATATACTGCCTGGGTGGATGCAAGAGGCACAAGATGGAAAAATGGAAGGATATTGTCATGGTGGTTCAGGGTCCAAAAGGCTCAAATAACCATTGAATGATGACAATATTTTTAATGGCTGTATTAAACTGCAAGATTAGGCACGAAAAATGTTGAATAATATATATGTAGACTAGCAGATAAGCCCGGTGTTGCTTGGGCAAAAAATAACAATAGCAAAGATTAAGATTATTACATTATAGCCAATCATAACTGTTTTCACAGAATGCAAGAATTAGGTCCCACTGTTTACAGACTAATTAGAGAATTTTTAGATGGGTCTAAAAATATATTTGATTTCCTGCAAAAATGCAAAAAATCACATCTGTATCTGTAAATCTTGCATGTTGCTTTCTCTTAACACTTCCATTGTTAACAACCTCTCTCCCATGGGGGGAATTTCTAAAAATTCCTTCTTAGTGTATGTTCATGACATACCCTAACTGTGTACCAAATTTCAACTTTCAACTTCTAACCATTTGGGCTTTGCGCTTATTATGTGGATGTGGTCACTTTTAGCTTCATTTCTCCCCATAGACCTTACTGGCATGGGTGTCCCTACCAGGAGCTTGTGCTCCAGCCTGCATTGTCGTATGGATCAGTAAAATTACTGGGCTCTCCCACCAAGACCAGGTGGTGACCATGGGAGAGTTATTATTATTATTATTATTTAGTGGGTTATACTCAGTTGATACCGGTGGTTGTGTACTATGCCAGACCAGAGTCAAGGCATAGCAATGAAAACAAAACTAAAATTTAATAAGTGTGTCAATGTCTGTATTCAGGAATTTCCTAACAATATGGCATGTATTCAATATAGTTTCTTTCTGTAGTGTGATGTATATGTTTCTATTCAATTATAATGTTCCCAGGCTTTTGTGTAGTGTGTGTGGTATCACACCTGTACAGGAGAGAATGACAGGTACAATAAGCACCCTTTCCATCCTCCACAGATTCCTTATTTCCTGGGCAAGTTCTGTGTACTTACTGACTTTTTCAGTACATGTGTTTTGTACATTGTGAGTGTTTGGAATGGCTATGTTTATAATGTATGTGATTTTATTGTGTTTGTCAATGAGTGTGATGTCTGGTCTGTTGTGGTAAATTGTTTTATCTGTGATTATGGCTCTGTCGTA